GGTTGTGCGTCTTGATTGACTAGGCACAGTGCAGGCCATTATGTATACTTAGTAGGCAGCCTGACCCACTCCCGTGGGAGCCATTAGCTGCATTATCACAGACGGGCAACTGTCGAGTGAGAAGCAGAGAGACAGCTCTCAGTTATAATTGTTCACTTTGCCAAAACTGAGAGCCAAGGTCTTGTTAATTTTTCTCAGGGGACCAGTCCAGGGAGAAGCTTTCAGAGAAATGGGGAGACTTGTGGGGTTTGTCTTGGAACAAACTTCATAAACAGTTAGCTTCACGTGGACTGTATAGGACCAGACAGATTTGAGATTTCTTAGAAAGGTCTACTTGTAGTCAGTACGGAAGGGGAATGTCCAGCTTTCACCTTTATGCTGAGGGTTGGCTGTGCAGAGTGTAAGTGACTTTTAGAGATGTTAGGGAAAGGGACCCAGATTCTGGCTTTGAGTGAGAATCCCATGGTGGGGGCAGGGGTGGGGAGGGATGGCATCAGGATCGAGCCTGGCTGTGAGACTGGAATAAGCAAATATTTGACCTTGGGAGGCATTACAGATGTTTGTACTCCTTTCCTCACTTGATACATACAGACACACACTCACCAGCATAGGTTTAGTGGACAAAGATGATAGTAGGAACTCTGCATTTATTTCCTAGTCCCTAAACCAGAATGTTGAGATTTAACCACAGCCCCTCTGTCCCGTTTGTGCTTTTGGCTGAGGCTTATTAATTCAACAGCAGATTGTAACAGGTCAATTTCCTGGGCTGTGTGTCTTGGTCTCACATTCCAGACAATGCTTTCATCCAGAGCCACGTGCGGGGAGTACAGGAATGTTTAGTTCCACTATTTTTGTGCATTCATTCATGGGATGTGGGCATCATTGGCTGGACCAGCATTTACCGTCCATCCCTAATTGCCCTTCAGAAGGTAGGGGTGAGCTGCCTTCTTGAACTGCTGTAGTCCATCTGTCATGGGTACACTCACAGTGCCATTCGAGAGAAAGTACCAGGAGTTTGAGCCAGTGACAGAGAAGGAGCAGCAATACATTTCCAAGTTGGGATGGTCAGCAGCTTGGAGGGAGCCTGCAGAGGGTAGTGGCTCCTATGTATCTGCTGGTCTTCTCGTTCGAGGTAGGAGAGATTGTGGGTTTGGGAGGTGCTGTGAAAGGAGCCTTGGCCTGTTGCTGCCGAGCACCTTTTGGATGGCATAGTGCATCAGGGGTGGACAGGGTGAATGTTGGAGGTGGCGGATGTGGTAATTCCCAAATCTGAAACAAAGAACTGCACTCGCTGGAGATACGAAACAAGAACAGAAGTTGCTGGGAGAAACTCAGCAAGTCTGGCAACATCCATGGAGAGAGAAACACGGGTTAAAGTTTCGAGTCCAGTGACCCTTCTTCAGTGTCCTGGACTGGCAACGTCAACTCTGCTTTCTCTCCACAGATGCTGCCAAACCTGCTGAGGTGATTCCTGACCCACCGTTTTTCTGCCCTGTCCCTTTAAATGAGGGGAAGGATTATTCCGATCGAATTCTCTGGTGGGCAAGGAGCCGAGAGGATAACATGTGGCACTTTATTCACAGCAATCACCGTGATGACTCAACACCGCAAACAGCCAGGGTTTAGCTGGGGCACTGCACATGGTGAGCACTGTAAATAACCAAACCAAGTCCGTGAGCTTTCAGCCCGAGAGTTCTCCCAAAGGATACCCTTTTACACAAGGTTAGGCACATTGATTAATAATGGCCGAGCACAGCTCAGGTGCAGGAAAGGGTTAAATGGGCATTGAAGGTCAGCGAAAGATGATGGAGTGACTGCTTTGGGGGTGGGGAACTGGCATCATGAGCAAACAGCTGGGGAGCAGGGAGCCAGCGGCTGCAGCTTTTATTAATGGTCCTTTGCTGACGTCAATGGGATGGTTTGCATACTCACTGCGGCATGAGAGACAGCCCTGAGTGGGCTCCCCAGGTACATTAACAGATGGTGCTAGGAAAAACTCGACATGGAGTCAAGAGCTTAGGACATGGACTGCACTCCAGAGGCTGTGGAGCGTCACCAACCTCCTCACAGGCTTTCACGAATCCATGGGGCAGCTGACTCGAATTCAGGATAGGGAATCTCACATCTGAACACCTAGCTTGCTCAGACAGTAACAGTCTCACTTTGAGCCAGAATGTACAAGTCACACTTCTAAAATCCGGGCTGGCACTCTGAATGCAGTACAGAGGGAGGGCAGCACGGTTCAAGGAGCTGCCTTTCAGGTGAGCTGTTAAATGAGGACCCTGTCTGCGTTCTGAGGGGGGGTGGGGATGTAAAAGATCCCAGAGTCACTATTCCAGGGAAAACTGGGGGATGGCTCAGTGGTTAGCACTGCTACCTCACAGTCCCAGGGGCCTGCGTTCAATTCCAGCCTTGGGTGACATTCTGTGTGAAGTTTGTGCGTTCTCTGTGTGTGCGTGGGCTTCCTCTGGGTGCTCCAGTTTCCTCCCACAGTCCAAAAACATGCACGATAGGATGGATTTGCCATGCTAAATCACCCACAGTGTCCACGGATGTGCAGGCTAGGTGGATTAGCCATGGCAAATACAGGGTTACAGGGTTACGTTAGGATGCTGGGTTTGGGTGGGATGCTCTTTGGAAGGTCAGTGTGGACTCAATGGGCTGAATGGCCTGCTTCCACACTCTAGGGATTCTATGAGTAGGGGAAGTATTCCAAATGTGTTTGAGTCAAACCAACACTAAAACAGATGCTCTTGTCAATTAGCACATTGCTATTCTGGGATCTTGCTGTGTGTAAACTCGTTACTGCAGTTTCTGCATTGCTATAGTGCCTAAAACTCAAAGCAAAGTGGTTGTAAAGTGCTTTGGGACCCCCCTCGATTGTGAGAGGTGATATACGAAAGCAAGTCCTTCATTCAGTTGAAGCTATGTAGAAGTTTCTGTTTAAGCTGCTTTCTTGTTTCCCATAGCAACAAAGTGGGTGGAATTAATATTAAATGCATGAATTTTCAGAATTGGGTGCTTTACAAATGTAGTGGGTGGTGGAAGTGCCTGCTCAGTGAGAGAATACAGGGGAGGACAAAACAGTGGAATTGTACCACTGCTGGGCACCTAAACAATCTCAGAGCAGCTTCCCCACTTTAATGGCCACCGTTATACTTTCTCTGTGCAATCTACACAGTCACAGATGGAGACCATTTGGCCCATCAAGCCTGCACCAGCCTCTGGGCATTATGACTTTGTGCCATTTTTCTTCCTTTCCCCAGAAACCTGCACTTCCTTTTGTATCGAAGCAATTATCTAATGACCTTGTGAGTGCTTCTGTGGGTTTTCCTTCTCACATGATGTTACCCTGAAAGGATAAATCTCTGTCGTATGCTAAACAGGGGGAAGGTGCTTTTAAAATCACTGTTTAGGCTCTGGTGGGAATACTGCGTCCAGGTTCTGGGCTCTACACTTTCAGAAGGATGTGCAGGCTTTGGAGAGGGCGCAGAGGAGATTCACCAGCATACTGCAAGGGATGAGGGACTTCACTTACATTGAGACTGGAGAAGCAGGAATGATTGAATCATAAAATTTTACAATACAGAAAGGAGTCATTTGGCCCCTTGTACTTGCTCCCAAAAGTGCTACCCAGCTAGTCCCATCCACCAGCCCTATCTCCCTAGCCCTCTAACTTCATCCCTTTCAGCTCTCTTTTGAAACCTCCTATGGAATCTGCCTCCACCACTGTCCCAGGCAGTGCATTCCAAATCCTAACACTCTCTGAGTAAAGAAGTTTTTCTTCATCTCACTCCCAGTATTCTTGCTGACAATCTGGAAATTGTGATCCCATGTTACTGACATACTGACTGGAGAAAACAGAATATCCTTCTTTATCCTGTCAAAATTGTTCATAATTTTGAACGCCTCAATAGGGCCACCTCTTAATCTTCTCTGCTCCAAGGAGAATAAGTCCAATCTCTGTAATCTTCTGTTGTACCTAAAATCCCTTATTCCTGGTATCATTCTAGTAAATCTCCTATGAATTCTCTCCAGGGTTTTAACAGCCTTCCCTAAATAATGTGGCCAGAACTGAACACAATATTCAAATGTGGTCTGATCAATGATTTGTAGAGGTGCAGCATCACTTCCTTGCTTTTATACTCTACATCTCTATTTATGAACCCAAGGATCCTGTAATAACTGTTTCTCCTTGCCTGGCCACCTTCAGAGTATTATGCACATGAGCCCTGAGGTCCCTGTGCTCTTGTACTTCCCCCAAAAGTTGTTCCTTTTCTAGCAGAGATGGTTGAATAGAGGTGTTCCAAATTATAAACTTGATAGAGAGTGAATAAGGAGAACTGTGCCCTGGCAGGAGGGTCAATAACCCTAGAGTGGTAGTTGAGGGGAATACTTTCCCATCGTAACACAGAGAGTTGTTGTGAACTGAAACATGCAGTCCGAAAGAGTAAGGAAATTAGATTCAACAGCAACTTTCAAAAGAGAACTGGATAAAAATTTTAAAAAATGAGAAGTTTACAGTGCTGCCAGGGAGTGGACAGCTCTTTCAAAGGTCCAGCACCAACATAATGGGACAAATGGTTGAAATAGAACCCCACGCACTGCCATCTCTTACTGACAAGGCTTCCTGCAGTTCTGAAGCTTAAAGAACTCAATTTACAGTACACATTCTCAAACCGATCAATTTCACTGACTTCTGCTGCTGTTTGCAGCCTCTAGTCTTCCCGTCCTGAGGATAACAGCACTTCCTGGAGATCAGGGAAATGAAGCTTTCTTCAGGGACAACCCAAGGCAACAGAGTGTCACAGGCTATACACTGCACAGTGACAGGTTGGGGGTATGCAACCCCAACCACCCTGCACTCCAGCCCCCCTCCCATTCCCCCTCACCCCCAAACCCCCCAACCCGTGTCCATACACATACACCTCCCAGGGAGACTGGGAGGCTCAGGTCTGGAAACAGCCAAACTGACACACACACACGACCCCTTCACTCACCTGATATGAGCGACCGGCAGATTCCCGAGGCGCATCCTGTTTTCCGTCTGTGAACAGAAAAAGTACAAAGACAGGATCAGAGGCCAGCTCATCATCGCAGCTCGACATCGTGCTCTCAGGTCAATATCAATGAAGGAGCTCATTTAACAACTGGGTGAAGGAAATGGTTAATTCAGCATCTGAGCTCAGCAGTCTCCTCTCAATTCTCAAACACAGGTAACAGCATGGCAATAGCTTCAGGGTAAAGCTTCCTCTACACTTTCCCTGTCAAACACAGGTACAGCATGGGGACAGTTTCAGCTTAAAGCTCTCTCTACCCTATCCCTGTCAAATACAGGTATAGCACAGGGATAGTTTCAGAGTAAAGCTCACGCTACACTGTCCCCAAACACAGGTACAGCACAAGGATAATTTCAGGGTAAAGCTCCCTCTACATTTTCTCTGTCGCACATGGGTGTAGAAGAGGGTTGGTATGCTAAGATTGCACTTAGCTGACAACATGGTGGTCTTCCTGCGAGTCACTGCCATTCAGCATTGCTGCACAATCCAGATTCTTCGAGCTTTGTCCCTCACTCTGTATGTGTATGCATGGTTGGCTTGTCTTACAACGGTCTCAGGTGGCTTCCACCCCTTTGCATTGTAGTAGCACCATGATTGGCAATGACACCAGCCAGGACAAAGCAGCCCCACTTGATTGGTATCACACCCACCAACATCCCACTCCCTCCACCACTGATGCTCGTTAACAGCAGTATATACCGTCTACAAGATGCACTGCAGAAATTCACCAAAGACCCTTCCAAACCCACGACCACTTCCATCAAGAAGGAGTCAAGTTCTCCGCCAAGCCACTCAAAATCCTGCCTTGGAAATATATCACTGTTTCTTCACTGCTGCAAGGTCAAATCCTGGAATTCCCTCCCTAAGGGCATTGTGGGATTACCTACAACACATGGACTGCAGCGGTTCAAGAAGGCAGCTCACCCCCACCTTCAGATGAGCAATAAATACTGTCCCAGCTGGCAATGCTCATTTCCCATGAGTGAATAAGAAAAAGATAGAGTAAAGCTCCCTCTTATCTTTTAAACAGCAAGCAAATGTCTCTCCACACTGTCCCCCATCAAACACTCCCAGGACAAGACAGCACAGGGTTAGAGAAGAGTAAAGCTCCCTCTAAGTTGTCCCCATCAAACACTCCCAGGGCAGGGACAGCACGGGGTTAGATACAGAATAAAGCCTCCTCTACACTGTCTCCATCAAACACCCCCAAGGCACGGACAGCATGGGGTTACATACAGAGTAAAGCTTCCTCTACACTGTCCCTATCAAACACTCCCAGGACAGAGGCAGTCTGAAACATCCCCTTGGAGGTGTAGTTTTGAGGTATGTCTACTCACGCATGTTGGAGGCCCAGGATGGCATTTCAGATACTAACCAATTCACCAAAACTAAAGTGGTCAATGTATACAAATTCCTGGAGTAATTACTGCTAAGAAGAATGTCCTCTCAAAATTCCAGAGGAAGGAAAAATTAATCCAGGGACGCGTTTATCAACCTGATTATCTTGTCCTCCTCTCACCCAGTGCCCATGCTTCACATTAACTAACAGAGAGCACCCAATGGCTTATTGACTGTGTAGGGCATCACAGCTCAGCTTTGTCCTGCCCTCCCACAATACTCACACTCACGTCAGTGTGTGCACCTAGCAGCAACCAGTGATTCAAGACCACGATCCTTAGCCGTTGTCCCCCTCTTTAATCAGAGCCTAGGGATGCGGTATTCCAACAGTGGTCATTTACAGGGTGACAGAGCAAGGAAAGTGAAGTCACAGATTAAGGTGCACCCCTTTCTGTGCGTACTACCACTTTTTACTGACCCATGACTATCACAGGGTGCTTGTTGGCGAATGGCCATTCCTTAATGAAATTGGAGGTTGTGGGAAGTCCATGAGAAATTGCACTATGTATGTCATTAAGGAGAGCAACCTAACCCTTTCATTCTCTGTAACTCCACCAAACTGAACCCCTTACTTGTTATTTGGAGGGTCTTGCAGATTCGCCAACGTAGCAAAGTTGTTCCTCACAGTCCGTAAACTAGCCAATACCTGAGGAAAGATAGCAAAAGTTAGTAAAAAGCTTGCATCAAGAACCAGGAGTAAATGAAAGGAAATTTCTCATGGAATCTCTGGGTTAAGGGCAAGAGGAAAGAACCCAACACTTTGGTTTTAAATTCTACCGAATACACGCCTAACCTGTTCAACATTTCCAAGGGGGGTCACAGGACCTGAAATGTTAACTCTGCTTTCTCTCTCTACAGATGCTGCCAGACCTGCTGAGATTCTCCAGCAATTTCTGCTTTTGTTTCCAACACTTTGAGTGGCTCCTGGGCTCAGTGGAATATCGGACTTTCAAACAGGAGGAGGCCATTCAGTTCTTTAAGCCTGACCAAGGTTTCAATATGATCATTTCAATTTGATTGTGAGCTCAGCTCCACTCTCCCGTATGAACCTTGTCCCTCTCGTCTATTAAAAATTTACTGATCTCAGCCTGGATGATATTTAATGTTTCAACTTTCCCTAGCTTCTGGAAAAGAGAATTCCACACTCGATCGACTCTCAGGAAAAAAAACTCCTCATTTTTGTCTTTAAAGGGAGGCCTTTTATTTCTGAACTATGTCCTCTAGTTCTCGTCTCTCCCATAAGAGGAAAGATCCTTCCTTCTGATATTCATCCTGTCCACTCCCCTCAGGATTATATATCTTTCAATGAGATCACCTCTCATGTTGTTAGACTCTACTGAAGACAGGCCTAACCTGTTCAACGTTTCTTCATTAAATAAATCTGTCATCCTCGGAATGAGTTGAATGAATTTTCTCTCAACTATTTCTAACAAAATTATATCTTTTTTCAAAAAGAGAGACTAATATTGTCCATGGATCTCTAGATGTGGTCTCACCAACTCTTTTACAGCTACAGTAAAAATTTCTTCTATTTATATTCCATTCCCCTTGCAATAAATGTCAATATTGCATTCGCCTTTCTAATCACTTTCTGTACCTGCATATCAACTTTTGTGATCATGCATCAGGACTCCCAGATCCCTCTGCATCACTGGGTTCAACAGTGTCTCTCCATTTAAGTTGTATACTGCTTTTCTATTCTTCCTACTAAAATTGACAGGTACAAATGCAGCCACGTCATACTCCATCTGCCAAATGTTTCCATTAACCAACCACATCCCTTTGCAGATAACTTACTTTCCTATCTTTCTTGATCTTACTGGCCAATTTAGCTACCATACAATTGGCCCCCTCATCCAAATCATTGATAAAGATTGTAAACAACAGTAAAATGTATATGTCCCATCACTCCTCCCTGTGGCACTTCAAGGTTGGCAATCTGAAACAAGACCCACTTATCATTACAGTCTGTTTCCTACTAGCTATCCAATCTCTATCCATGCTAATACGTTACCCCCACACCATGTGCTCTAACCTTGGGACACAACCTTTGATGTGGCAACTTATTAAAAGCTTTTTGGAAATCCAAGTATAGCACCTCTATAAAGTATAGATGTTACTCTGTCAAAAAAAACTCGACTAAATTCATGAAATGTGATTCCCTTTCTCAAAGTCACAGCGAAAGTCGGCCTGGTCACATCACAGCTTTCGATGTATCCTGCTTTGACCATCCTTAAAATGAATTTTAGCACTATCCCTAAGACAGATGTTGAGTTAACTGGCTCAGACTTTGCTGCTTTCTGTTTCCCTCCCTTCTTGAAGAAACGGGTTATATTGTCTATTTTCCAATCTGCTGTGACCCTCCCAGAATCGAAGAAATTTTGGGCGATTATAATCATTGCATTTACTACCTGTACTCCTAATTCCTTCAAGATTTTAGGGTTCAGACTCTCAACTCCTAGGGACTTATGAGCCTTTAGGTTCAGTAGTTTTCCCTACGCCATTTCCCTGGTGATGGAATGCTCCTTTCTCCCTTACTACTCTCGATTTTTGTTGATCTTTTGGAAGTTTTCTACACAAGGATGGACACAAAATACCTGTGCGCACATAAGAGGCCCCCATTGAGTAATGGTTTTGGGGGTGGAGGGGGGCAACTGATGCCAGAGGAACCCGGAGACCAGGTTCTCTGGAAGTGAGCAAGAGCTATCATCCTTAGCTGCATGAACAAGCTGTCCCCTTGAATCAATGCCGTATGTGGCCTGCCTTCTTCACCCAGAGGCCCCATATCACGCCCCGATCTCCTCTTCCCTGAAGCAGAGCAGTAGTAATGTCACTAGATTAGCAATCCACAACCCCAGGCTAATGTTCTGGGACTATGGGTTCAAATCCCACCATGGGGGATGGTGAAATTTCAGTACAGATCTGAAATTAAAAAGTAGCTTAACGGTCACCATGTAACCATCGGTGATTCTTGTGGAAACCCAGCTGGTTCACTAACGTCCTTTAGAGAAGGAAATAGACCACCCTTACAATCTCTGAGCCACATTGACTCCAGATCGACAGCAGAGTGGTCAGCTCCTACTGTCCTCTGTGTAATCAGGGATGGGCAATAAATTATTATCAAATCAGTGATGCCCAGAGCCATGAATCAATTTAATAAAACAACTTTCTTTCCTGAAGGATATTTGTGAGCACGAAGGTAGTTTACTGGCAACAGTTGTTGATGGTTTCACAGTCAACACTGCTCAGACAAATTTCAATTTGCAGATGTATTAATTGAATTTAAATTCCAATGCTGCCAAGAGGAAATTCAGACTCACATGGCCAGAGCATTAGCTTGGGACTCTAGATTACTAGTCTACTGACGATACCACAAAAACAGCATCACCCCATTCCCATGCAAGTTAAATAGTCAATAAACAGGAAGAGTCGAAATTCAAAGAAACTGAGCAGCTCAGGCCCGCAGATCAGTCATAGGTAGCAGTATGATACACAGTTAAAATCAAAAAGACAAATAGACAGGTTATGAGAAGATATAATATAAACAAGGTTTGCATTCCTGGAACACTAAGGAATCATTTGATTGAGGATGTTTGGATTTTAAAAGGAAACAATAATCAGAAGTTCTTTCCATTGGTGAATGGGTCTACTGTAACCTTTAAAAAAAGAGACACGCAGACCATTTATTCAAATATAGTGTGAAATGGTCTCAGACTAAAAGTAACAGAGACCGGCCGGTTTAATAACTGTTAACTTAGAGCTGGATAAAGTTATAAATGGATGTGGAGCCAAAGGAATGGAGTTAAATGGATGCTGAACAAGGAATGGGGCTAAATGGCTACTTTCTGTTACAACATGCTTATGTTCTCACTTTTTTTGGAGAGCAGATGGCCTGTGAAATAACCCAGTGCCAGGACCATCCTCAGGCCCTTCTCTGTGTCAACAAGCAGAGCTCTGAGTAATGAGCCAGGGACAGTGTGAGTGGAGAGTGAGAGGAGGGGAGAAGGAGCGAATGAATGAGGAGGTGTTGCTCTCTGTTCTGAAACATTTCCTCTTTATCAATCACTGGCAGATTGTTGATATCTTTTTAAATGACCATTGTGTACAAAGCATTCTAACAGTTTAGCAGCCAGTGACCTCAGCTGTGACACCATGCCTTCGCAATTCACTCATCAGGAGAGCATTTAAAATTTTTAGGAAACATTCTTTCTATTAAAGCTGAAGCACCATTGTTTTTTATTCTAGTTTGAGCTTATGCAGATTGAAATATGTGCAGAACTTAGGGCAATCAGTATTTAGATCAAACACTCCCAGGAAAGGGACAGCAAGGGGTTAGACACAGAATAAAGCCCTCTCTACACTTTTAAACTGAAAGTAAAATGAAAGTAAAGTTCCCTTGACACTGCCCCCATCAAACACTCCCAGGACAGGTGCCTTACGATGTTAGATACAGAGTAAAGCTGCCTCTACACTGTCCCCATCAAACACTCTCAGGACAGGGAGAGCACAGGGTTAGATACAGAGTAAAGCTTTCTCTACACTGTGCCCCATCAAACATTCCCAGGACAGGTACCTCATGGGGTTAGATACAGAGTAAATCTGCCTCTACTTTGTCCCCATCAAACACTCTCAGGACAGGGACAACACGAGGTTAGATACAGAGTAAAGCTTTCTCTACACTGTCCCCCATCAAACACTCCCAGGACAGGGACAGCATAGGGTTACATACAGAGTAAATCTGCCGCTACACTATCCCCCATCAAACACTCCCAGGACAGGGACAGCATGGGGTTAGATACAAAGTAAAGCTCTCTCTACACAGTCCCCCATCAAACACTCCCAGGACAGGGACAGCATGGGGTTAGATACAGAGTAATGTTAATAACATGCCATATCAGTGAACAAAATCCTCCACATGCCTCATTCTGTGACCCATTTCTGAAGGAATTTGTCTCATACACATCTGAAGTACCAGAGCCAATCAAACAGGACCTGCAACCCATCCACTTGCTACCGACGCATACACCCAGAGATATTCCTGGCTTCCTGCCTGGACCAGGGGTCCGGAATTCGTACATTCACTGGGTTACCTGTGGATAGTGAACTTCTGTAGGAGAGCCAGGAATACGTAGACGCGCACGCTCAGTCCAAGACTTTGGCCGAGCCGGTGCATCACCGTCAGCTTGCTCTCCAGCTTGCTGAGCAGCTTGCAGTTCTGTTTGAGATTCAGTCTGATGTTCAGTTTGATGCTCACTATTAGGCTCAGGTCCTTTATCGGATTTGTGTGTCAAACATGGGCAGCAACTTCTAAACATGTTCAACTGCGCTAAAAAGGGCCTGTGTTACCTAGCAACCTTCAAAATGAAGTAGTGTGCCAATTTCGGAGCCTACGATTGGCTTTTGGACCTCGCGGGCGGATTGTCGATTGTTCTGCAGTGGATAGGAACTGTCAATTAGAAGAATCTGAGCCAATCACAAGCTCGATTCTGTCATTCTCTTGGTGACACAAGAGTATTCTAATTGGTGTGTCACAAACTCATTCTTGAACTGGTTAAGGGATTGGCTGAAGACTGGGATCCAAAGGATATCCAGCACAGGCACAATGGGTCAAATAGCTTTCTGCATTGTATCAATCTATTACTCTCAACCATTCTAATTGTCTGGAAGTTTTTCCAATGTATTCTCCCTGGAATTTTCCCAGCCCAGTGGGCACATCCTTCAGGGTGGTGCTGGAACACAAGGAAATAAAAAACCTTCAGACTGATGCCCCACATGGCCCGCCCTCACTTCTTACTGTTTTATTTAGAAGCGAGGGCACTGTGGAAACAGTGGGCCATGTGGCTAAGCCAATTACTGAGGAACCTAGAGAGTAATTCACAAACAGACTGTAAACTCAGTGCGGGTTCCCCAAATCCCCCCACCCTGCTGTACTCACATCCTGGTCAATAAGAGGCTGGAGCTGCTCACTGGGTATGAGCACTTCATTTCAGAAAAAGACACGGCTTCTGCCTTCCTATCTCTCTCGCTGTGTGTTCTGTGACGGAGAGTGGAATTCTAGGAAAAGACATCTGCCCTAGCTCTGCTGTTGATGTTGGTCCAGTGCTTCCTACACAGCAGCTGTGTACCGACTGGTCAGAGAAACACAAAATCATTGAAATCTACAGCAGGGCTGAGGCTATTCTGTCTGTGATGAAAGGTGTATGTACTAATATTATTTTTGTTTGGAATTTGGATTTCAAACGAGAGGCAGATGGGTAATAGTTACTACTGTGAAAAGTTTTCTTTCTAAAAAAAGGTCAGAGAGTCCCTCTGGAACAATGACCCAAATCCAACATTTGTCAGAAAGCAGGGGACTCCATTAGCACCATACGGTGTCTGCAAAGGCGTTTATAAGGATGGTAGGTCTTCCTCTCTGAAGGAGATTAGTCTTTAGGCCGATAAGTTGGGCTGAAGGGCCTGCTTTTGTGCTGTATACCACTACGAATCTATGACTATCCTGCCTTGAAGCCAATTTTGGATCTTTCCCGTTGACCCTGTAGATTTTGTTTTAATGACCATGTGGAACACTGTCCAAAACTTTGTTAAAATCCATACAGACTGCATTCTCACAGTCTTTGATTAATTAATCTAAATGTAGATTAATCCTGTCCCTCCAGAATTTTTCAAGTAATTTTGCCACTATCGAAGTTAGACCAGTGCACAGTGGTAGCAGTGTGCACTGTCTGCAGGATCACTGAAATACAGTGAGAAGACTCCATTGAAAGCACCTTCCAAACCCATGAGCACTTCCCTCTAGAAGGATAAGGGTAGCAGATACATGGAAATACCACTATCTGCAAGATCCCCTCCAAGCCACTCACCATCTTGACTTGGAAATATATCAATGTTCCTTCATGTGTGATGAATCCAGATCATGGAACACCCTTCCCCTACCTAATAGCACCATGGGGACAGGTGGGGTAGGGCAACTGGTTCCTGGAAAATGCCATGAGCAGATCGGGTCTGTGAGATAGCTTTAGAAATCGAGATAACTTCACAACAACTATTGGGAAATCCTTGGGTCTAATGTGAAATCTGAAACCCATAGACAAAGATGGGATGCTAATATAGTTCTCAAAAAGCTGGATCAGTTTTGTTAAGCAACGGTATAAAGGGATATGGGCCAAAGGCAGGCGTATGAAATTAGGCCAAAGATCAGCCATGATTTTGTTAAATGGTGGAACAGGCTCGAGGGGCTGAATGGTCTATTCCTATGAAATCTGGGTTAACTCTAGACCTTTCTCTTCTATGATGAGTGCCCGTTTGATCAAGACTGAAGGACGTAAATTTTGTCTTGTCTACTGGCTGCCTCGGTAATCACTTGGCAAAACCATAATTCTCAATCTGGGTTTGGGTGCGGTCAATAAGTCATCGTGAATCGCAATAATCACATTCACCACGTCACACAATGGCTGGTTTGAGAATTGGAAAATATATCTTGTTTGGAGTATTGCCAGGGGCTTCCCCAAGGCTGGACTGAGCTGTATTTTATTGGGACCAACTTCTTTTATTCATTCAAGAAATTTGGATACCGTTGGCTTGACCAACATTTGTTGTCCATCCTATTTGCATTTATGTTGGTGGTGAGCTGACACCTTGAACCGCTGTAGTCCATGAACTGTGAGTTGACCCACAAAACTGGAAGGAAGTGAATTCAGGATTTTGACCCACCGACAGTGAGGGAACGGCGATATATTTCCAAGTCAGGATGGTGAGTGACTTGGAGGGGAACTTGCAAAGGATGGCGTTCCTATGTATCTACTGCCCTTGTCCTTCTAGACAGTAAAGGGCATAGATTTGAAAGGTTCTGTGTAAGGAGCATTGATGAGTTATTGAAATGTATCTTATCGATACACTGCTGCTACTGTATACCATCTAGTGTAGAGGTAGCTTTATTCTTTATCTAACTCCATGCTGTCCTGGGAGTGTTTGATAGGGGACAATGTAGATGGAGTTTTACTCTGTATTTACCCCCGTGCCGTCCCTGTCCTGAGAGCGTGTGACGGGGACAGTGTAGAGGGAGCTTTACTCCGTATCTAATCCCATCTTGTCTCTGGTGGACAATGTCATAGACAGTGTTCACATTCTCTCTAAGGTGAGTTCTCCTTGACCAATATCTATCCCTCAACCAACTTCAGTAAAACACAGACTTTCTAGTGGGTATTGTATTGCTACGAGCTGGCTGTGTGCAAACTGTCTGCTTTGTTTCTTACACCACAGCCATAATCGTGCTTTCACCATCTCAGGATGTCTCCAAGCACTTTGCAAACAATCAGGTGTTTTTCCAAGGCGCTATGGAAATGCAACTTCTTTCTTTTCCAGGGGCATAATCAACAGGGAATCCTGCGACACAAGGAATCACCAATTACAAACAGGTCTGTGCCCACACGTAGACAGTTTCTGACATTTCAGGAGGGGGTGTGGCAGCTGCTCTAAACTGCCTCCTCCCAAGCAAGAGGGAAGAGAAATATCACCGAGAGACCAATCCTCACTTCCAGCCCCATCACCACAACCCAATCTCTCATCTCAACAACCCACCAAAGGCTGGGAGAACAATGCAGGTGCCCCTCCCTCTGAACTGTTTCGGGCTGCAATTTTAACAGGGAAGATGGAAGGAAAATGCCAGGACAGTTACTTTTTGGTCCTTCATGCAGCGTTATAGATTGTGTGACTTACCTGAGCAAACGGTGTCACAATCATGTCTTCTGTATGGCTGAACACAAAAACAGATTAAAGAGTTAGAATGCAATCTCTATCTATAACGCACACAGTGCTTGCTCACAATCAACAAAGATTCTCCACTCAATGAATACACTGGACTTGGATTCGACAGATATTCAACAGCAACTACAAATGTTTAATGTGCACCCTGCTGGTCTACAAGCTGCTGAAATCCCCAGTTGGCATCACCCTATTTCAATCTCTCTCTCTCTCAAAATCTCCAGCCTCGCTGGAGCACTACATTGCAGCTCCAAGAGCTTCCCTGAGACTTTCCATGAGGAAGGAATGCCCCTGTCGGGTCATGGAGAGGCACCAAACTCTCACACAAGTGCCAACGAGCCAGGGATCCACTCCTGGACGGTGTCACATGTTTACAGTGTTTGGAGTGAATTAGTTAAAGAGTTACTTGGGATCTTTAAGTAATACCATGAGAAGATAGATTAAGGAATTTGAAAGTTCCACCTGCTTCAGGCTAGGAATGACAACATGCTGGATTGCAAAAAGAGAGAGTGGGGAGTCTCTGTAAAGGAGCTGGTGGTAAACCACTTTATCAATACTGACCGTCAAGTAAAATCCCCTTTCTGTAGTGCAGACCACCTTTCAAACAGCTCAAATGAAACAGGATACAGAACTTGACAAAACAATTGTTTTTGGGAAGTTTGGGGATCTACAATTCACACAATCTAGACACTACTATATCCCTTTAACAAGACCCCAGAGTCTCTAATCAATATATTAAGGAAGTGTTATTAGCATCAGGAGGTAGAAGTTTAAAGGAAGCAAAAAGTCAATTATCCTAAAACAGTTTTGCCATTCATCTATGCACAGTTTGAAAATCCTACAAAAGGCTGCAGGAGTCAGGAATGGTGAATAATAGAAGCTACTAGTAGCTTCAGATTTCGAAGAGAAACAAAGTGATCAAGATGTTGCAGTGAATACCCTACTGCAGGGCAAGTGATCTTGAAGAGCTTAACACTTCAGCAACTTACTCAGTGGATGAATGTCAATTGATACAAAAGCTACATTTCACAGGTGAGAAGTCTCAAATTATTTTTGAACCGACCTAAAGATCTGGTTGATCCAGAAGGGAAGCAATGGAAATTATACAAACGTGTTAATGTGTGAATGACACAGGGAGGGTTTGCTATTTCTCAATAAGTCTGTCCTGCTGAATGTAGGTTGCATCCAGATTAAAGCAGGCTCAGCGATCCTGAAGAAGAATCATATTGGACTCGAAACATTAACTCAGTTTCTCTCTCCCCAGAAGCTGCTACACCCATTGAGTTTCTTTTGTACTTTCTGTTTCAATTTCAATCCAGCAATGTCCTACTGGCATCAGAGAGAGAGAGAGACAGAGAGAGAGAGAGAAAAAGAAAGAGAGAGAGTGAGAGAGACCAGACTCTCTACAGAGTTTAAACAATGTGCGATAGGTCAAACAAAAAGGATACCTGAAGGGTCCCAACCCGAAATGTCAGCTTTCCTGTTCCTCTGATGCTGCCTCCACACTGTGTTATCTCTGACTCCAGCATCAGCAGTTCCTACTATCTCTAAGATTGGAAGTCAGGCTTTAGGGGCCTTTAAATACATAGAGTTAGACATTAAGCAGAATGGGTCACGAGTGACTTTAGATCAACAGCCTTGTGTGAAAAGTGTTAATCTCATCCTGATAAATCGGACCAGGTGCTCTTGAAAAGGTGACTGTGTGTTCAGGAAAGAAACCGACCAGATAAAATGTTTGGGAGCAAATTACTGCAGATGCTGGAATCTGTACTGAAAACAAAAGATGCTGGAGATCACAGCGGGTCAGACAGCATCCATGGAGAGAGAACAAGCCAACGTTTCGAGTCTAGATGACTCTGCATCAGAGCTGAAATTTGTTTCGGCTGTGGAGGGGGCTGTTCACTTAGATTTGTCTCAATGCTGGTTTTAACATAACTGAGTATCATGATGAAAATAACTACTTTTGAGGAAGTCTTAAGTGCAAATAAAACATTAAAGAAATCAACAAAAACATTGATGTTGGAGAAACTCAGCAGTCTGGTAACATCTGAAAAGAGAAAAAAAGTTAATGTTTAGAGTTCAGTGACCCTCCTTCAGAACACTTCTTCTGTCTCAAAGACAGACTGCCCCTCATATAGGGTCTCATTTAGAACATTGGATAAACACACCCCTATATCTACCTGTTTTACCAGGATCAATGTTTCAACAACTAACATACTTTTAATTACTTCTTTTTTTATTTTCTTGGCTAACCAAGCCAACAGACATATATTAGCTTTCTCATTTGTTTAATTCAAGTCAATTATTTGATTTGTTATAACATATGCTTTTAATCCTGCTTCCCTCACATAGCCATTTGGAAATTGGCATGGGAAGCACTGTTAACAAGGTCTAGTTTCATATTTTCTGAGTCACCCAAGGTTGGGAACTTGAGTGCACAATTTTCTGAATTTAGTTCTTGTAAAGAAACGAAGAGCTGTAGATGCTAGCGATCAGAAACAAACACACAGAATGTTGAAGAAACTCAGGAGGTCTGGCAGTATCTTCAGAGTCACTGGACTCAAAACATGAATTCGGCTTTCTCTCTGCACAGACCCTGCTGAGTTCCTCCAACGCTCCTTGCTTTTGTTTCAGATCTCCAACTTCTGCAGGTCTTTGCTCTATGTTGGCACCAATTGTTAAACTGTTTAACAAGAAAACGTGATTGTTCCAGAAACCATTGGAAATCCGCAAAGAACATCATCTGGTCATATATGGCATAGAGGGATATGGTGAAAAGGAAGGAAATTGGCACTAGGTAACAGAACCAGTGCAGGCTGAATAGCCTCCTTCTGTACCATAATATTTTGTGATTCCGTGATAAAGTGACATAAGAACACGGAATAAAATACATTTTTATTTGGGCTGCTTTGAGACAAAGCATGTTTTGTTTTGTTCAAAGACATAAGGGAGGATATTATAATTTATATAAATGATTTGGATGTGAACATAGGAGGTATGGTTAGTAAGTTCGCAGATAACACCAAAATTAGAGGTGTAGTGGACAGTGAAGAAGGTTACCTCAAGAGTACAACAGGACCTCGATCAGATGGGCCAATGGGTTGAGGTGTGGCAGATGGAGTTTAATTTAGATAAATGTGAGGTGCTGCATTTTGGAAAGGGAGAGCAGGGCAGGACTTGTACACTTAATGATAAGGCCCTGGGGAGTGTTGCTGAACAAAGAAACCTTAGAGTGCAGGTTCACAGTTCCTTGAAAGTGGAGTTGCAGGTAGAGAGGATAGTGAAGGCGGCGTTTGGTACGCTTGCCTTTGTTGGTCAGTGCATTGAGTATAGGAGTTGGGAGGTCATGTTGTAGCTGTACAGGACATTGGTTAGGCCCCCTTTGGAATACGCGTTCAATTCTGGTCTTCCCTACAGGAAGCATGTTGTGAAACTTCGAAGGGTTCAGGGAAGATTTACAAAGATATCACCAGGGTTGGAGGGTTTGAGCTGTAGGGAGAGGCTGAATAGGCTGGGGCTATTTTCCCTGGAGCGTTGGAGGCGGAGGGGTGACCTTATAGAGGTTTATAAAATCATGAAGGGCAAGGATAGGGTGAACAGCCAAGGTCTTTTCCTCAGGGTGGAGGAAGTCCAGAACTAGAGGGGCATAGGTTTAAGGTGAGCGGGGAAAGATTTAAAAGGGACCTAAGAGGCAACTTTTTCAAGGAGAAGGTGGTGTGTGTATGGAATGAGCTGCCAGAGGAAGTGGTGGAAGCTGGTACAATTACAACATTTAAAAGGTATCTGGATGGGTATATGAATGGGAAAGATTAAGAGGGAAATGGGCCAAATGCTGGCAAATGGGACTAGGTTTATTTGGGATATCTGGTTGGCATGGACGAGTTGGACCAAAGGGTCTGTTTCCATGCTGTACAGCTCTATGACTCTATATGGAAGGACCATTGTATGATATGCAATATGAAAAACAAAGTTTAATTAGTTCCATGCAATGATTGTTTCTATCTCTTCAAAAGTTTTATTCAAAGAGAGGAAAGGAATAGTTTACAATAGCGAGTAGTTAAGTAGAGGATTGTGGGTCATAATTAATGAACTGTCTGGGTACATACAAAAAGGGAACAATGGGGTGTAACAGTGCAGTGGTAGTGTTGTTAGCTCCGACCAGAAGGTCCAGTTCAAGTTCCCCTCCGATGTGATGGCCATAGAGATACACGACCAAACAGACTGATTTTAAAAAAAGGGAACAGGTGGGGCTGGAGTGTGGAAGGAGCTGTAAGACTGAGTACTTAATAAATTTGATCCACAAAGAAAGGAGTCTTAGTTTTTGTCTCACTGACTGGCTTGGATCTGATTTAACACGAATTTTTCCTCAGCCCAGCAAAATCTAGGTTTTCTTCTGTTTCAAATCCCTCCTTGACCTGTCCCCATCTGTGTAACCTTCTCCAATCCTGCAACTTTGAGATCCCTGCTCCTCTAATTCTGACTTCCTTTTAGATCCTTGTTTTGCATTGCTCCACATTGGTGATTCATACCTTCAGCTGCCCGGGCCTTAATCTCTGAAATTCCTACTCTGAACCTCTCCTTCTCTTAAACACTCTCTCCTCCTTTAAGATACTCCTCAAAAACCTACTGGATTGACCAAGCATTTTGTCTCCTGCTCTACTATCCCTGGGTGTGCCTCAATGTTCAAATTTACCCGATACCGCTCCTGGGATGTTTACATCATGTCAAAGGTGCTATATACAGGCAACTTGTTGAGGGCTGAGGGCACAGTTGTCAATGTTGGGCAAAAGCCGTTGGTTAAATGCACTGGGTGTGCCAGTCATTGTAACAGGAGACTAGCAGGAGAAGACTTTGAATAAAAAGTACCTATGTTCCTGAAATCCTTGCAGAAAGGCATGAGATAGAGAGATGTAATTTGTCCCTTTGAACCTCATCCTTGAGAGCTAACTCTTATTCTCCGTAACACCCCTGCAGTATTTGAATGATCCCAGATTTTAGTCATAGAGTCATTTTAGCACATAGGCAGACCCTTCGGTCCAATCAGTCCTTGCTGACCATAATCCCAAACTAAAGTAATCCTACCCACTTGGCCCATATCTCTCCAAACATTTTCATTCACGTAATTATCTAAATGTCTTTTAAATGTTGTCACTATACCTGCATCCACCACTTCTTCTGGAAGTTTATTTCATACATGAATCATTCTCTGTTTAAAAAAAACTGCCTCTCACGGCTTTTTAAAATGTTTCGCCTCTCACCTTAAAAATGTGCCCCCAGTTTTGAAATTCCCCACCCTAGGAAAAAGCCACCTGCCATTCACCTTATCCATACCCCTCATGATGTTATAAACCTCTATAAGGTTACCTCTCAACCTCCTAGGCTCCAGTGAAAATGTCCCAGCCTATCCAGCCTCTCCTTATAACTTTACCACTTATGCCAAAGCATTTTCACTCACCGACTTCTGCCTAATAATTATTACAAATTTACTCATCGCTAATTTAAACTAATAATCTCTGGTCCTAATTTCCTGACTGTTTGAAACTCTGGACTTCTCCTACTTGGTCCATGTAAGATTTTTTTAAGCCTCAGCAACGTTATTCTCTTTAGTCACATCATTTCCTCATTGCGAAAGTTCTCTCTCCTCCATTTCTAGCACATTCAACATTTTGTTAAAATTAAACATGGAAGTACCATGCAATCAGAAGACCAAAAGTGTAACTTTAAAGAAAAATTAACATCTGAAGCAGAAAGGACAAAGAAGGATTTGATTTAAAAAGAAAATTCTGTCGTAAGTGGTCCAATATTATCAGCATTCACCAAAAGTTAGAGAAAGTCAGTGGGGTCAATCCAGATTCAGGAGTTCGCTGTTTGACAGAAGGAATCAAAGATGATCTAGTGCAGAGAAACGCTCTTTCCCTCAAGGTGTGTGTAACTGCAATTGCAACGAGTTCTACCACGTTTTCTCATGCATGTGTTCTACACGTTCCCATATAATTCTCAAATTATATGCATTCGGCCCATCAAATCTACACCAACCATCTGAGGAGCATCCCACCCAGACCCACCTCCCTACCCTATCCCTGTAACCCTGCATTTCCAATGGCTAATCCACGTAGACTGTACATCCCTGGACACTATGGGTAATTTAGCATGGCCAATCCACCCTAATCTGCACATCTTTGGACTGTGGGAGGAAACCAGAGCACCCCAGAGGAAACCCACACAGACATGGGGAGAATGTGCAAACTCCACACAGAGAGTCGCCAGAGGGTGGAATTGAAACCAGGTCCCTGGTGCTGTGAGGCACCATGCTGTCCAATATGCCAATCCTAAATGTTTTTCCTTTGTGACCCCAGTTCGAGGCTTGAGAATTGTTGTGAGGCCTGTGGGTGCTGACGGAGCTGTTATGGTGTGGACAGAGCTCAGTGGCCAGCATCGCTGACTTGAATCGCAAAACTCCCCAAGTTTCAGCTTGTAACCCCAATGAGGTTCCCGACTCCCCCTCACTTTGGGGAGCCCTGGTCTAATTGCAAATTCTAAGAGATACTGGCAGAAGCAACATAAAGGGGGTGCTGGAAATCTGAAATAAAACCTGGAAATGCTGGGAATACTCAGGTCAGGCAGCATCCAGGGAGAGATGGTGTCAGGTCTGTGATCCTTCGTCAGATAAACCGATGAGAAATCATCACCCTGAAATGTTAACTCCGTTTGTCCTTTCCCCAGATCTCCGATTTGCTGAGCACTCCCAGCATTTTCTGTTTTTTTCCCCAGGCTCTGATTGTTGTTCAGTTTACAATCCTACAAGAGACACAGCACCCTGGGATTGGTGGCACGGTGCCAAGAGGGTTTCTGGGTTATTCTATTGCCTAGCCCATTGGCACTGAAGCCAATTGCAATGCCTTTACAATGATTGTTTGAGAGACCAGCCTGGTCCCTATGGCTCAGTATCACACTGCAGTGCAGTCAGTTGCTGGGATAGACCCACCCTCTCTCACACGCTGGGAGACTGTCCAATAGTCTCAATAAAACCAGGCCAGAAGCAAACCTCACACAAGACACAATTCCTTAACAAGGCTGACAACCAACTAATAAATCACCCAGAAACATTTCTGCACCAATAGGTTTATAAACCATTAGGGAGCTGAGGCTTGTTCCATTTTCCAGTAGGACAGAAATTTTGCAACAATCCTTCTTGTCTTATTCCGTAAATAACGATAATTCACGAAGTGGGGTGATGGTGGAAGGGATGTGGGGTGGGGGAGAAAATTTCAGGGAGGGTATGGGGTGTGTAACAGCAAGGGGTGTGTGAGGGGGCAAGCGGGTGTGTGATGGGGTAAGGAGGCGTGTGAGGGTAGGGGCTCCGCTGTGTTAGGGTGAGCGGATAGAAGCAGCTTGGTGACAGGAGTGATATCAAACCAGCCCGAATGAGTATCTTCTGACATCTTGGTGTGTGGAGCTGAGGGGAGTGTGAAATGTCAGCCACCTCATTGGAACGAGGGATCTGCATGTTTCCCATTTTAAATCTGTGTGCATTTGAGGCCAAAGTCAATGGGCAGGAAAATTGGGCAGGCTGTAAAGAAGGCCATAGACTCATCAGTCCAAAGCCAACTTCACCCAAGTGTCCTATCAGTTTTGTTTTTTTTTTTTTTTTAAGGACTTTATACCAGGATTGCTGGGGTAGCCTGTGGGAACGGGCCATACTGACGTGCTGAGTATCTAACAATGGGAGACAGCATGTCTGATTCCAGACAGTCCACGTGTCTATCAAGTGTACAGCATGAGACAGGATACAGGAGAGGGACACCCATACTACTGGCTGAATGTTTACTCGATAACCTCTCACTGCTGAATGAATCGTTGGGTTAACATGGAATGTGCTGGGTGTCTGTCAGGTTCAAAGTATCTTGTGTCTATGGAGTATCATGTGTTCTGCATGACATGCTGTGTGTCTAACATGAATGGTGTGTCCACCATGGAATACCAGTGTTGACTGTAGTGTTACTCTAACCTCTGGGCACATTATCCCAAAAACAGCTCCAATGGGTGTCGAATATTACCTTGCAGTCTCACCCCTGGTCTCACACACCGATACTCTGGGCAGTTTCACCTCATGGTTAGTAGATTGTGATAAAGGTGGACAGACTGGTGTCCAAGTAACCAATTTCACTTACTTTCCCATCGTCAGGGCAAGGACCGGCTCGGAGAACCGGGAAGCTAGGGCAGATCTTGGGTGAGCCTTGAGATAGATACTCCTGGTAACCGGCCATCAGAGGAGAGGACAAAGATCATTTCAAGACATTCAGTTAATTCCTATCTCTTCCCATCGACCGTGCCGCATTTCCTACTAATCAACAGCCTGGGATGGCCTGGGCCTCCAGAATTTGGAGATTGGCATCTTCAATCCTGCGATGTGCAACATCCAGGAGAAAACCCATCAGGCCTCACCAAAAAATATTCTCTCATTTGCTTCAGTTAAATGCCTTTGTTGGGGATGGCGGGGGGAGCGCCAAAAGGACGGAACAAAGGTCGGAATCTGAGGGTGGGGCAATTGGAGGCAGGAAGTCATGACGAAACCTCCAGGAAGACGCTCTCACCAAGAACTGGCAATCCTATCAGGATCCCTGACTTTGATGGTCAGCGTCCAGTTTCTGCTCCTTCCCTCCACCCTGTGGGAATGGGCCTCACTAACTCCATCACCATTCACACAGCGTCGTGCATTCCCCTCACCTCTCCCCCACTACTTGGGGAAACCAATTCAAGCGTTAACCGCACAGAAAGGTGTAAGAGTGAACATCACTCACATGTCACTGGCGATGGAGGAGTTCCGGGACACATTCTTCGGGGAGAGGTCGTAGTCGCTGTCGGAACGGTACAGGAAGGATTCCCGGCGCTGACCGTGGCTGAAGTTCGCTTGTAGCACAAGCCCCGAGCTGGGGCTGGTCTGAGGATCAAGTGGGCTGCGTCCAGGAGACAGGCCATTCTCAACGTCGAAGCTGCTCGGGAAGGAATGACAGGGGAGTGAGTGTGGAGCAGATACCTCAGCTCAATTCTAACCTCATCGAGGTGAGCGGTGTCAGTGCCTGAGGAGTCAATGGGAAGTTCTGTACATCATTTACACCGAGTGCCATTCACCCCCAAAATCCATAACCGATACTAGCCCACAGAAGTGGAACACACCTTAATTTTAAAATTCTCACCCATTGCTTTCTCCATAAGACACAGGAGCAGAAATTTAGCCATTCGGCCCATCGAGTCTGCTTTGCCATTCAATCATGGCTGCTAAGTTCCTCAACCCCATTCTCCCGCTTTCTCCCCGTAACCCTTGATCCCCTTGATAATCAAGAACCTTAAGTGTACTCAATGGCTTCTCATTCTTCCATGGCCTATCTTTCCTTATAACCTGCTCCAGTCCCACAACACCCAACGTCTGCACTCTTCCAATTCTAGTCTCTCACACTTGGATCATGTCATCCAGCTTGGAAACAGACCCTTCGGTCCAACCAGTCCATGCTGACCATAATCCCAAACTAAATTAGTCCCGCCTGCCCAGTTTACCACCTTGGTGGCAGTGCCGACGTCCCAAGCTTTGGGAAATTCCCTCCATAAACCTTGCCACCTTGCTTCCCTCTTTTCAGACACTATTTAAAACCTCACCTTAACCAAGACTTTGACAGTCCGGCCCACATTTGCTTAATTTGGCTCAGTACTCACTTTGCATAGCAACACTGCTACAAAGCACCTCATGATGATTGATGACAATAGGAGTGCCGTAGATATACATGTTATTTTATACATATAAACGCTTTCCAAAGATTTTTGTGCAAACTACCATTCTGATTAATCTCCTCTGTACCCCCTCCAATTCCTTAACATTGTTCCCACAAATTCCCATGGTATCCCAACTAACAGAGGGTTATTTCCGTGTTCGTTCAGGGATGTAACAGTCACTGGCAGGGCTAACATTTGTTCCCCATTCCTAATTGCCCCTTGATCTAAGTAGCTTGCTAGGGCTATTTCAGAGGGCAGTTAAAGAGTCAACCCCATTGCTGTGGGTCTGAAGTCACAAGTAGACCAGACCAGGTAAGGATGGCAGATTTCCTTCCCTGAAGGATATCGGTGAGCCAGATGGGTTTTTACAACAATTGATGACAGTTTCATAAACACAGTCACTGAGACTTGCTTCCAATTCAGGTTTTATTTTAATTGAATTTAAATTCCAAACACCACGTTGGGATTTGAACCCACGTCCCCCAAGGTTAACCTGAGGCCTCTGGGTTACTAATGCCGTGACATTACCACAATACAAGCACCTTCCCTAGAAGGTGTTGAAAATTAGTGAGTTCAGGCTGTTCGGAGTGAAATAGGAAACACATTTTCCAAAGAATTTAAATGAAATTCTTTGACAACCCTGCATTAGTAAGGTTGTTGTGAAACTTGAAAGGGTTCAGAAAAGATTTACAAGGATGTTGCCAGGGTTGGAGGGTTTGAGTTGTAGGGAGAGGCTGAATAGGTTGGGGCTATTTTCCTTGGAGAGTTGAAGGCTGAGGGGTGACCTTATAGAGGTTTATAAAATCATGAGGAGCATGGATAGGGTAAATAGTCAAGGTCTTTTCCATGGGGTTTGGGAGTCCAAAACTAGAGGGCGTGAGTTAAGGTAAGAGGGGAAAGATTTAAAAGGGACCTAAGGGGAAACTTATTCACACAGAGGGTAGTGCACGTATGGAATGAGCTGCCAGAGGAAGTGGTGGAGGCTGGTACAATTACAACATTTAAAAGGCATCTGGATGGGTACTTGAATAGAAAGGGTTTAGAGGGGTATGGGTCAAATGCTGGCAAAATAGGACTAGATTTATTTAGGACATCTGGTCAACATGGACTAGTTGGACCGAAAGGTCTGCCTCTGTGCTGTAAGTCTCAATGACTCTAGAACTTACGATGCAAGGCACCTGGATCAGACCATCTTTCTATTTTAAACACTGCCAACCATTTATGCACATGTTCTTCATCTATTTTTATCTGATCCAATATTGCCAGCATCATCTCCTATCCTGCTGTATTGGCAGCACCCTGCTCTCTAGAGAAGGCAGATGGATTTATTCATCAAGCAGACTAGCCAGGCACTCTGTCTCAACACAACTTGACCCTATGCTTCCTCTGTTTATGCTTTTACGTTTTATACAATCATGAAAGAACGTGTTTCCTTTTACATTCACCACTATCTATTCTCATGATCTCTTCTTGCCTCTTTTTTTAGAACATCCTTTGTACTTTCTGTCTTTAGCTTAGATCTTTAAATCGATTAGCAATCCTTCCAATTGTCATAGTCCTCCTCTCTGTCACATTTTAACCACAGCATCTTTAGTGCTTGAAGCAGGTTGATTATGGGAAGGTGTTCATTCTGTACCTCTGCCACCTCTTCTAACTGTTTCACCCACACTCTAAACCCCTGCCTGTTCCAGTTAGCCTGCCACCACCATCGTAAACATTTTTTGGTATTTGTTCACGGGATGAGGGCATCGCTGGCTAGGCCAGCATTTATTGCCCATCCCTAATTGCCCAGAGGGCAATTAAGAATCAACCACATTGCTGTGGCTCCGGAGTCACATGCAGACCAGACCAGGTAAGGATGGCAGTTCCCTTCCCTAAAGGACAGTAGTGAACCAGATGGGTTTCTATAACAATCGACAACCTTTTAATTTCAATTTTTTTTTCCCCAGTTGACTTCAAATGTTACCACCTTCCACATGGGATTCAAACTCTGGAACTATCACCACAATGCTAGAATACAGTTAAAGATTGCTTAACAATGCAATTCTAATGTCACATACGATCCAACAAAGTCAACATGGTGTTACAAACAGGAAAATTATATTTGATAAATTTGTGAAAGTTTATTTAAGGAAGTAACTTGCAGGGTAGATATGGGGTAACCAGTTGGTGGAGTGTACTTTGATTTCAAAAAGGCATTTGATAAGATCACCTTCTGGAGGGAGGGAGAGTGGGACGCAATCTCATTCCAACACCCAACGATCTGGAGGGATCTGGCAGGGTGACACCGACACCCCTGGGTGGGCAATGACCAACATCAGAACATAGACCCAATTATTTAAGACTGAGATGAGGAGGAACTTTTTTTCTCTCAGAATTACAAATGTTTAGAATTCTTGACTTCTGAGAGTCTTGGATCTTCTCGTGGTTGAACATATCAAAGACTGAGGTACATTTCGGACCACTGAGGAAATCAAGTGGTTTGGAGAGCCGGCTGGATTGGGATTGAGTCAGAAGGTCAGCCATGATCAAATGGGGGGTGGGGGGAGGGCGGGTGAGGGGAAGTTGCTGGTGGTGGAGTTAGTTCAGAGAACCATACAATATGGAAGAGGCCCTTTGGTCAATCGAATCCATATCACCAAAAACGCGCTACCACCTACACTAGTCTCACTTTCCTGCATTAGACCCTGAATGTTACAACACTCCAAGTGGCTCATTCATGTATTTTTTAAAAGGTTGTGAGGTTTCCCACCCCAATCACCTTCCCAGGCAGTGCATTCCAGACCCCCACCACCCTCTGAGCGAAAAGGCTTTTCCTCAAATTCCCTCTAAACCTCCTGCCTTTCACTTTTAAAGGTGCCCCCTTGTTCTCGACCTTCCAGCCAAGGGGAACAGCTGCTTTCTCTCCACCCTGTCCTAGCCGCTCAATCTTATACACCTCAACCTTCTCAACTCCAAAGGAAACAATCTGAGTGTGTCCAGCCTCTCTTCATAGCTGAAATACTCCATCCCAAGCAACATCCTGGTGAATTGTTGGGAAATTGAAATGTTGGATACAGATTAACAAACAATACCATAATAGACTAACATTTATATAGACAATAGGTATAAAGCCTTTGGGATTTCACATGATTATATGATAACATGGAGTTGAAGGGGGTATATTACATCGGAATGAGGGCATAGAGAGCAGGAGACGGTAATTAAGGAATGAGTCAGGCTCATGAGGCAGTAAGGTCTATGCGATGGAACCTATCTGACAGTGAGATATAACGCAGTTCACCTCATTGCCCTGAGGTTAGTGAGGGAGGGGGGCAGTAGCCAGAACTCCATTGTTCAATCGTGTTTAGGGGCAGCACAGTGGCTAGCACCGTTACCTCACAGCACTAAGGACCAGAGTTCAATTCCGGATTCCAGATGATGTGTGTGGAGTTTGCACATTCTCTCCGTGTCTGTGTGGGTTTCCTCCAGTTTCCACCCACAGCCCAAACATGTACTGGAGAAGGTGGATTGGCCATGGGAAATGCAGGGTTACAGGGTTAGGGTGGGATGCTGTTTGAATGCTCGGTGTGGACTTGATGGGTCGAATGGCTTGCTTCCATACCGTAGGGGTTCTGTGATATTCAGAGACTGAAGAAGCAGATGCGATTCCCTCCACAGTCAAATAGCACACCAGACTATTGACAGTTTGCAAGGGACAAACAGCAGCTTACAAAGAAGAGGGAGGTGATGGCCTAGTGGTATTAATCGCTGGACCGTTAATCCATAGACTCAGATAATGTTCTGGGGACCTGGGTTCGAATCTCGCCACAGCAGATGGTGGAATTTGAATTCAGTAAAATATCTGGAATTAAGAATCTAATGATGACCATGAATCCATTGCTGATTGTTGGAAAAATCCACCTGGTTCACTGATGTCCTTTAGGGATGGAAACTGCCATCCTTACCTGGTCTGGCCTACATGTGAGTCCAGACCCACAGCAATGTGGTTGACTTGTAACTGTCTTCTGGGCAATAAATGCTGGCCTAGCCAGCGACACCCTCATCCCGTGAGTGAATAAAGGGGAAAAAAAAAAGAACACATGCCACACCAGAGATCCATCAAAACCTCAACAACAGAATACTACAGCTTCCGGAGAAAGAATAAGAAAGAAATTGTAAGTTACAGTCAGGCAGATTGTAACAGCAGATGTGTTTAAGATGTCACAGTTCCACTGATGGGTGG